TTTAAATTGTGATATTTGTAAATCTAAAATCTTTAATGCTTACATTATGTTTCTTACCCAAAATATGGCATATGTCAAAATGAGATAATTGCTTTTGTGAATATCCTTATTCATAAAGCTTTAATAAGACCTCAAAAATTGGTATAATACAGTACAAATACATAATCATAAACACAAATTTGTACACATTCCTGACTTTTAGATTAACAAGTAAACCTTTTTTGTAATTTATATGTAGATCAGTAAATATATATTCCTTTCTATATATACACATATATCTCTTATGTACACAGTATCTTTACAATTATTATAAGCAAGAACAACATACACAAATGTTTTCGGCTCTCAGAGTAAAAAGCCCAGATTCAAAGTGGAAAGATATGTTGCAAGTTCATTTGCATAGCAATGAATGATTTAATAAGCAATGCATACCGATGAACAGAGATGTCCTTGTAAAATACAAAGCATGTTTATGTAGTATTAAGAAACTTGGTCATCAAAATAGGCACCATAAAAGTAAGTACATACAAACACTGAAGAATCATCACAATGCACTTTGTAAGTCTTGGAAGACAGTGAGCATTTGTTTCAGTAAAGCGGTTTGATGTTTATGGTTATCCTGAAGAAGATGCAAAAGTTTTGTTCTCTCTTGACGAGACTGTTGCCGATACCTTGCTAGACTCTTCATAATATCCCATCGTTTTCCTCCTGACTTCATGGAAGTGGCCAAACCAGGACTCTTTGTCTCACGGACACAGGAACTTTCAGCTTCCTCTTCTATCTCTCCAGATGGTAAATCTAATGGCTCCTCCTTGATTCTTATAGGAATTTTCATAGGAGTTACATCTGATTTCTCTCCCACTTTTGATGTACTGGGCAGTTCATCAGTTTGTATTCTTTTAGCTGCCATAAGATCTGGATGAACCATCATTCTTGGAACATACATGTGTTTAATATCTGAAGGCAGCGGGTGGTTTAGAGGATAATGAAGTTTCAAAGTACGTGGAGGGACGACGCCTTCAACTGTGTGACAATGTACTAATTTTGCATTTTCTTCTTCTGTCACACTTAAAACTTTCACTTGAACTCTGTCATCTTGTGAATCACCACTGTATTTAAAGACGTATGTAACTTTACCATCTGGAGTATCATAAGGAACAGCTTTTGTCTTTGTTGTAGTGGACTTATGATGCTTTTGTCTTCCTCTCCCTCTGCCACTTTTTTGTCCTCTACAAGTAATACCTTTATAAGACCTTTTTGGTGCTTTACTATCAGTAAGCAAGTCTTCATCATAGGGTTCTTGTTTAACTGTGATGTGACTTCCCTGCTCATTTTCTACTAAACTTTCTGTTGATGCTTGGACACTTCGTTTATTCAGCATTCCTTGGGGTGTTACATTAATGCGCACAAAGGCAGATACATTTTCTGCCATTGAACTAACAGTAATCATGTTTTCACCGCTTTCCATATCTTTATTTTCCTGATCAATAAGAAGGAGCACAGCCATCTCCTGACCATTCACTTTCATCTTCTTTACTGAGCACTTTGGTAACCGATTATTTTTCTGCAAGGGAGATGTTGCAGTAGTTCTCATCTTAGGAGACTGTGTCAGTGGCTTAGTTTGATCTACAGCACTAGTATGATTGACACTTTGGTGATCCTGGAGATTCTTACCCGTAACAAAGGAGTCAACTGGATGTGGATTTGGAACCGAGTGGCCCAGTAACTTAATTAGACTCATCTGATAGGAAAACTGCCTATATCCACCATGTCTAAATGTGGCCACCATGTACTGCCACTGCTCTTGGCACTGTGTGGGGGTTTTGTTATAACCTTGAGTATGTAACAGTTCACTTGCTGCCTTCATCACAGTCTTTCCTGAGGAGTGTACATTGCGTGGCTGAAGCTCCCAGCTAACGTGTGTTTCAATTAGTTGATTTACTTCATCAAAACTCCACTCACCAATCTGGAAAATTAAAATGAACTGTATACAACTGCATCAACAACAAAAAATCCTCCTTTCTTACACATACATGCACCACAAACATAAATATGACATAATTCAGAATTAGCATATGGGAACGGAGAGCAAAATCACTACAGCAAACATTGTAAGGAAGAAAGCATAATGAATATATAAATAAAAACAAACTAATAATAATAACAATATAAAAGAATCATGACTCACTGTCTGATATCCAGGTACGGGCAGAGCATGGAACCCATAGGCTACAAGGGGATTTGGGTGATCTTCCCACAGGCCTTCAAGGTCTCCCAAAGAATCTTCTGCACCTTGTAACAAGGCCTGCCTGTGAGTATGATGTAACTGCACTAACAGATGCCAAACTCTGCAAAGGGATTATATTTGGGTTACTTGAATATTAGGGAATGACAGTAAAATGTCAGAAAATTGCCAACCTTATCATAACTTTCACTGAATCTTGAAAAGACAGAAAGGGAGAATCCCATCCATGACATCCCCTAAACTTTAAAAACTGCCAATGGAAATTGCACAATACACACTGGTATGGGGTGAAGGTTGGAGAAGAATACTGGTAGTGATCATCAAGGTACTGAGCAAGAGACAGCAGAAGGGGCCAGCGTGGGGCACTGTGGCAGGAGTGGCCCTTCAGCTCCCTCAGGCCGGTGACCAGGACTGCCATCACTTCTTCGGCTTCAATATCTTCTTCATGTCCTCTGCTTGGCTCAACTGCTCAAAAGTAAGGCAACAAAGAGGAAAAAATAATTATTCAGTTACTCTACCAACTATAATAATAAAAACAATAAACGAGATATATATAAAATCAATATGAGGACAAACCGTATAGCATTTATCCTAGTGCTAGAAATGTCCTCACCAAGACTTGATGATTCACAAGTTTCTTTGTATCCAAAAAGAGATTTTAATTTGAAATAGAATGGTGGTCTGCGCCGGGCACGCATTCCACAGGTCTGATTGAATTGTGAAGCTGCTTGATAACTGCTGTATAGATGCTGGAAGCGATTCTGGCATGCTTCTGCTTCTCGGGGATAGCCTCCCGCCTCCATCACTTGACTCACCTTTTGATGAAATAAGCCCAGTGTGAATAAAAAAAAAAACTCTATGACAAAACTGTCTTTAATTGGACAAGAAGGAATAATTCTATGGATAAGATTTAACAGTGAAATTATTTATCAATTTATCTTTTTACTTTTTAACATTAAAATCTTTCTATTAAATACTATCTTCACCAGTACTTACCAATTCCCAATCCATAGGTATCTTTGGCCAGCCTGGCCAGAATTCCCTAACTGTGAAAATCAACTCCAATGTCTCCTCACGACTCCAGTCTCCGCCCTCTTCATTTTCCCACCACTGATCTGAAGGGTGATAAATCAATTACAAAATGTGATTATAGAATACTGAAACTGCACTCCTTTAATACAGTACAGAATATTCATTTCAATAAGTTTCTGTTCATAACTATAATTTTGTTAAAAAACAATCAATGCTGTGTATACTCAAGACTCTTTCTTACCTCTAACATCAGGTTCAGCATCATGGCACACAAAAGGCTTAAGAATCGTCTTCAGAACCTCCTCACACATCACAGACTTAGGAACATCTCCACTAATCATCCGGGTGTTGAATAAAACAACACTTTTGTACTCTCTACACATCTGTAATAGTTTAAAAATTCTTTCATTGCAAATGTATGTATGTGTGTGTTTAGGGTGCATGTGTGTGTCCAAGAGAGTTCGTGATCATTAGAATATATGACTGGATGAAATGCCTCTAGTGGCCCAAGTTGCAATTTACTTCCATACAATATAAACAAATGTGAGTCAAGAAGAAAGGCATTCTGTTCACTACAGAACTTGCGGAAAAAAGAAATGGACAAGTTACACAGAAATGGTACAAGGTACAATTAAAGGCTGGAGAAGATTATGCGTAGGAACATGTTGGATATAAAAACATTAACCAATGAATAAATGTATCACCACTGTATCAATACTTAAATCTGAATTTTGGTGCTATCATATAATACAACAGCTTTGTTTTCCTTAAGTCAGAATATCACAAAAGAGCAATTTAACACATTACAGAATAAGAAAAAAAACACTACCAGAGAAAATCTTTCTTGGCACTTGTTGGGGCAAACTTTGTAGCGGTTACTTAATCTAGAAGCGACCTCTTTCCATACTGGCTGCCCACTGCCCAGCATCAGCTCCAACTCCCCATCATCATGGCACAAAAGCCTCCATTCTTTCAGGGTGTCCAACATGACGCGGATGTTACCCTCTGTCCATCGCACACTTCCATATTCTTGAGTGAAATAAAAAATATATTACAAAAGTAGAAAAATATAGTTAAATATATGAACACTTCAAAATACTATGAACTTTGACATAGCTAAAATCACCACAATTACAGGGGAAAATAAATTAGATCCACATGTTACAAACTAATTAACCTGAATCTGCTTTACATACTGTGTATCTAATTTGACTTGACAACAAATAAAGCAGCAAACAAGAAGTCCTTTAACCACTATATCATAAGCAAATACAGAACTGGAATTGACATACAAAAAAAAAGAAGAAAATTCTGTAAGGCATACACATTTCACGACCATTAATTTTTAGCTGGCAATTCAGAATTGTTCTTTGAATGAAACAATAAAAAATGGAATTCCTTGACCATTTTTATAAGAATGACATAAATCTATAGGATTCCAATTCTTTAATGGGTTATCTGGAGTGTTAAGATTTTTGCATGATCCTATTTTTTCACTAAAGAAAAAGCTACATTATTATTAAAGGCCTTCCATTTTAAAAACTTACTTTGTTGCATAGCTTTTTTCAGCACCAGTTTTTCTCCCTTTTTCCTAATTTGTACAGGCTGGTAATACATTGCCGTTCCTTTATCTGGAATGAAACTTTCGCTCAAGAGAATGTTTCTTAAACTGAAATTGGCACAAATGACTTAATACTTATGCAACAAAATGTACTTGTACTCTGTAATCAAAAGTTACTCTGATCTCTATCCAACTATCATATGTCAAATGGTTTATATAACAAAAGATCCATAGATGAAAAACCATTCAACTAACACTGACAAAGGAAACTTACCCGATATCGACTCCAGCAGACTCAAATGAGGCCCGAGTACAATCCTTAACTTGCCAATATCTGCATCGCCCTCTTCGTGATCTTTTACTGCATCAATTAAAATACTAGCCAACTGGAAAAAGATACAAAATTCGGTAAAGCTAAACATCTCAAACAGCCATACACTGACACTGGCATAAGCAAATATTAGTTCCAAATTGACAAATGCACAGGACTTTATCCCATGAAAAAAAGAGAAAAGGAAGAAAAAAAAGGAAGTAAAAAAAAAAAAAAAAAAAGATAATTAACAAATAAATAAAATCTATGAAGAATTTCTGTACAATCATACTAACATAGGCAACTGAAACTGCGTAGTGAACTAAATGCTATTTCCACCTTCCCGTATTCCAAATTACTGATCTATTTTCAGATTTCCCCCCACTTTCCACTGCATATTTTTCATGTAACGACAGTGATGAAATGATAAACATATATCATCCATACTCACATGCTTAATTGGTGGAGGAGGATGAACAAGGCCACTTCTTTTGATCTGCATCTTTAGACTGGTCAGCATATTGACCAGGAACTCCCTCTGAGAGTCCTCATCACCGCCTTCAATAGCTTCTAACTTGGAGCAAGCCATTGCTATAATAATCTCCTTGTTCTTCATGGTTTCTGTTTGTAAGGTTGGAACACAATCATTAGTCTCCTGTTTTCTAATGAGAACAGAAAGTTGCTTGAAAAAAATAAAGGATGTAACTCATTAGAAGCAAAGTAATAAGAACAGAGGGTTTTAGAATTCCTTAAGAAGTTTGGGCTAAACTCCTACTCTTAATGGAGAAAAGGTATGAATGAGAATAAATATCTTCACAATACAAGACATATATTTGGCTGGTTTTGAATATATCTTTGTCTGAAATACGTATTTCTGACAAAGATAGATTCGAAACCAGTCAAATACATCTCTTGTAATGTGACGATATTAATCTTCATTGACACCTTTTCTACATTTGTCAACATGAATACAGTTTCTCCTACTCTGGCTCATTTTATGAATCTTTTCTCATAACACTCAAATTTTCCCCTATTCCTGAACCCATATATCTTCATCCTTTGCCTGCCTTACTATTGCCAGTCAAAGAATTTTGTTGTAGTAACTGTCTTAGAGATTCCTGTTGCCCCCTTGCCTATATTACTATGCCCTACTTGAACTAGAAAATATGCAAAAAAAAAAAAGCAAGCATTATGAAACAGAGATCAAATACTGTATATATATTTGTCAACAGATTAAGATTGAGTTAAGAGAAAAAAAAAGAGAAGGAGTAACTGGTTAAGTTTTACCTGAAAATTTTGGCTGAGAAACAATTGTGTCTAATTCAGCCATCTTTTCCATATATGGGAATGGTTTGAGAAGTTCCTTGTTACGCTTAATGGTACGCATCCTATTAGTGTACAGCTGGCGAAGTAGTGAATAGTACATGCGACATTCTTCCCCAGTATACCTAATAAGATAATGAAAATTCAAACATAAATTCCTTTCTTTGTAAAAGTCATTATCATTATTAGTAACACTAAGTAATAAAAAAGACTAACAGATATTTACAATCATTAGTGAAGTAAAAAATATCATACTGGAATCTTCAACTATACAAGCTATTTAATATCAACATTCAAGGTACATATTTCTTGAATTCAATTTAAAAGCTACCTCTGCACTTACTAGCCAACTTTAAACAAACTGGTGCATCAAACTATAAACAACTGGTAAACAAAAACATCAACATATTCATGAGAGCAGACTACTTAAACACAAAAACAAAAATTAATAAATAAATTAATTCCAAAATTAAGTAATACTCCTCACACATAATGCCTTTACCTGAAGCCATGTCTGGCCATGTCATGACTGATCATCTCAAACAGATTGGTGTTCTTAACAGCTTCCTGACGATGGTGCATGACCAAGTCTAGAAGGAGGTGTGCTGCTGTGTGGCTCCAGTATGGCACCAACTGATCACTGTCGGTTGATAAAGGTTCAGGAGTAAAACCGAGGGTCATTTCCGTTTCCTCCAAGAGCTGCATCTCTGACACAAAGGGAAATGGATTTTGACTCCTGTATCCTCGCCTCAGAAGTGAAATGTGTTCTTCAATCTGTAAGAAGGTGAAAAAAGGAAATAAAATAAAATAAAAAATATATAAATTAAAGGTTTTTAAATATAATCCACACCCTTATAACATTGATGTACTGGAAAAAAAAAAAAAAAAAAAAAAAAAAAAAAAAAAAAAAAAAAAAGAGAATGACCCACTGACCTCGTAGCACTGCTTGCGATCATTCTGTGTAGTAAGGTATGCTTTTGCCAACTGAAGCCACAGTTCCTCTGTTGGTTGATGGTCCCCACTACTAAGGTGTGCAACCAACACTTGTGGGTAAAGCTGCAGTAAAGCCCGAGACTCATCCTCACTCCACATGAGCTGAGCATTAACTACAAACAGGAGAAATAGAGGAAGTGTATAAAAGACCACATCAGTACTCAATAAAATCACATATTAAATTTCATTTTTACAATAGCTACTAGGTATAGAGAAAAAAATTGACTTGCTCTTTTTTACCTTGCCTCATCCTAATAACGTTGGATTTTTCAAGCTTTATAGTTGAGCGATCATGTGGCCAGTAATTGTAGATGTTGTAGATCTGAAATTGTGATAACATTATTAATGAAGCAGAAATAGTGCAGGTAAAAGGAAAATATGCAAATGTGATTACCAAGATCTTAGAATTTTCACAATATAATGGTTTTATTAATTTTAGTAAGGTTCAAGCGGGGTCAAACCCAGGATGGAAATTCATTTAAATTAGGTGACATAGCCTAACTGAATTATCTTAAGCAAGGATGAGGCCAGCTACCTTACCAAAATCTGCTTGGGTTATCAAGATCTTCACTCACTACCTCCAGATAACATGTATGTTATGCCATGCTAAGAAAAGCATGTCTACCTAAGAATGTATATGTCATGCCATTGCTATCAAAGACCACTTTACACCCTTTCTACTGTGTGGACTTTGCGAGGTGGTGGCTGGGTGTTTTTGCAGGAATTTTGGCCACTAAATAGTACTATGATCACGGTATCGGACATCTCTATATCAAAGCTGTAAGACCGGATTTTAACTGGACATAAATGACATGAAAAAAAGCTCACTGGTTATGGGTATGTAGCATATGACATCATGTTTATACACATACACCTTGGAATTTAAGACTTTCTGCATTTTAACCAGCTTAGGGGCATTCAATTATTTACCTGAAATAATTACAGTACAAAATGTTTAGGCATGCTGTCTTGAGTGAGTCTTGAATATGACAAATGGCTACCCACCTGAGCTGAATTTTGATGCAATGTGAAGGATAATATAACCTGGGTTAAAAGTTACAATGTTTTTTTTTATTTTATCCTATTCTTATTAATTGCTTCAAAATACCAGGACTTATGTCTCCTCACTTTTTGCCTTCTTTTAAGATAAGTGATCATAGCACACAACACTAACTACTACTAATAAAAGTGTGGGTCTTTTTTTACATCGGGATTACTATTATACTTTTGAAGAAGTTTGTTTCTAACCACATCTCACCTCTGACAAACTTTCGTGGTGTCTACATTCTCTGCGAATTGTTCCTGGCTGTGCATTATGCTGCTCCATAGCTGAAAACTGTTTGGTCAGCTCGTAGAAACGTGTTCGCACTTTTTCAACTGTGGTACTATATCCTGCCTCATCTTCTAGTTGCTGAAACACATTCCTTTATATATAATCTGTTTATTTGGAATCAAAATAATGATGCTATTAATAATAATGGTAATAGCAATAATAACAATAATCATAAAGGCTCATCTATATAATCTTCCTACAGAAGTAGTAGTAGTAATAGTAATAGTAATAGTAATAATAGTAATAATAGTAATAATAATAATAACAATAATAATAATAATAATAATAAAAATAAAATAATAATAACAATGACAATAATAATAATAATAAATAATATAACAATAATAACAATAATAATAACAATAATAACAATAACAATAACCCCTTGTATCTGGGCAACGTGATCATCACTTAATGAAAAACTGGCATTGGGCCAGGTGATCTGAACATCCCACATGAGAATTTTGGCTGTAGGCTAGGGTGAGGAGAATGACTGATCATGTGTGCACGAAGGTCATGGAGCGTGATTAGACTCAGTGGGCATTTAGGAAGGGGCTCTTGCATTATTTCCATTGAGAAATGAGGGTGGAATGTATCATCTGTGAGTTATGGCTGCAATAGCGCTGGCTCCAGGTAAGATACCATTTCCATGTTCAGAATCCTATTCCTGCCCGTTACTTACTATTATTGATACCATACAAAATTATATTCTGGCTATTCTATTCTAGATGATATGGAGTATGTGCATAGAAAACAGTCTATTACCATCTTGATGCAACAAATACCAAATGATAAAAATGGACCCTGTTAAATGGCTAAAGAGTAAAAAAGAAAGAAAGAAAAAGAAAAAGAAAGAAAAAAAAGGAAAAGAAAAGAAAAAACTTAAACAGGAGAAGAGACAAAACATTGCAAAGGAGAGGCGCACACACAAACACTGTACTTCAGCGCTTGTGTGTGCGCCTGAACTACAAGCCATTACATTATCATCATTATTATTATTATCACTATTATTAACACTATCATCATTACTACTACTATTATCAAAATCTTTAGTTACTATCAAATAATAATTAATTGTGATATAATCACAGTAATAGTAATAGTCAGGTCCTTATTTTCAACAGGGAAAACAAATCTCTTCTGCCCTTCTTTTTTCTTGAAAATTTCTTGTGCATCATACACCTACCTGTACAATTTCCTGCCATAATGCGGTGTTGTTGACATGTTCATTATTGAAGCGGTACACTCTCTCATGGTAGCACTTCAATAATAGTCTCTCAATTGGAAGAGTCCACTTTTCTGCAAGGAATACATCAATGGTCATATTTCTTAATAATTGCTTTATGTTTATAACTTATTATTTTCTTATTTCAATTTTTTCAAGCCAAATTGTGGTCATAATCATGGGTTTAGGATATCAATAGCCTATGATTTAAATTATAAATATCATATAGTTCACATACATTCAACAGAAAAACTTAAACCTTACCCAATTCTATTTTAACAGAAAAAATCAACCTTAGCAGACAATTTCAACAATAAAGTTATCAATACCCGACAATAAATATGAATACAGACACAAAGATAAACACACAGATAAACATATACTACATAAATGTGTGACTGTTTTATTATGTTTCTTCTGGTGCTTCATGTTGTTTTGTGTGTGCCTTCTTTGATATGAAAATCAACATTCCTGTTGAACCAATTCACTTCTAAAAAATAAAGTCATGAAAGACCGACAATTAAAAACTAAATCTGTACAGCATTCATCACTCATTTACTTACTTTTTAATGTCTTTGGGGTCTTCCCCCGCTTTTCCATTATCTTGAGCCATTTGGAATTGCGTTCTGGGACATACTTGAACACCCTTTCAATGTGGTCTTTAAAGGCTATATTGATGGGTTCATTATGTGGCTTTGAGTTATGCTCAACCATCCGCTGGTAGAGTGTGACAAGGGTGCTCCATCGACCCTGAACCTGGTCAGCTGTGTAACTGCAAAATGGTGACAATTGAAAATAAGTGACCAAACTACATTTCTCAGTATGAAATATTCTATTCATCTCAAAATACTTCTAGAAATAAATAAAAAACATAAGTATATAATAATAGCATCCTCAAGCTTCCAACCTTTAAACTAAAATATGACTGGAAGACGTGCAGATCCATGATCAAATTTTCTTTGGTTTTCCAAAGGCCTTCCATTCTTGACTATCAAAATTGAAAACATTTGTGAAAAAAAAGAAATACTAATAAATCAAATCCACATAAAGTCCCATGATATCTTGAGTTGTCTGAAAATATCTAAAAATTTGACACCTGCACAGAAATCCTAAGTGTAAGTAAAGTGCATATCTTGATGAAATGTATAAAGTGTGATATTCTAGTCTTTGTTTTAATTGCTACCATGGATGTGCCTGAAGCACTCCCTAAATACATAAACTAGGGTTCAGACACCAACAACATAAGGCTTAAAAACACAACTCAGAAGCCCAAAAGTACTAACCTGTAACCATGAGCCGCTAGTACCTGACGAATGTGCTCCCATACCTTGTGTCTCATTCGCGTTCCACCATTCTGTCCAAGGCGCTTACTACCATTTGCTTCTAGTTGTCTAATCAGCAACAGTGTAGCTGGTCGATCCCATATTCCTAAAAAACAAATTTTATGATATTAAGTCTAATCGAAGTTATTTCATAGATGTCTGCTCTATGAAGATATATAAATCATCATGCAGTAAAACAGTACAAATAACTATTCGTTTTAGTGAGAGGTTCTATTAGAAACATCTTTTAAACATCTTTTAAACAATGAAAGTTAAACTTACCAAAGAGATCATTAAGTTCATCAAAATACTGACACGTTCTTCTCATATTATGCATATCGTTATGGTTCACTGTATTGCGGTATTTCTTGCATAATTCTCGCCATCTCATACGAATCTGTAGGATCAATACAAAGCCTTTGAAGTAAGGATAAAATCAATAACAAGTTTAGCCATGAGATACTCAAATATTATCAGAAATCATTAATTTATTGCAGATGAGTTTATCTTATTATCAATGAGCCAAAAGAGAAAAAACATCCAAGCTAAAACATAACTGTTTGATAATAAAAGTGCCTACTCCTCTGTATATTTTATTTCTCTTTCTTTTTATGTTAAGTCTTCTTTGGTGACTTACAGTACACTTACCTGCAATACTGTAAACTGATATCCTGCATCGGCAAGTTTTACGCGAATCATTTCCCAAGCTTCTGTTCTTTTGCATTCCTTGTCAAGGATGAAATAGGCCTTTGGGTTTTCTTTCAACAACTGTATCAGGAGACGACTTGATTTATTGTCCCAAGGGCCTGAACATGGGAAAAAGCATATGAAAATAAATAATCATTCCTATGGCCTTGTGAAAGCATGCCACAGGAGAAAAAAATTTGTATACTATAAAAATGTGTTCAATAAAACATACTTACATCCAAATTTCTTAAGTACATTAAAAATAGTAGAAGAGGTAAGTGTAATTAATTAATGTGTATCATGAAGACATGTGGACCAAGAGTCTGAATTGCCGTGAAGTTGGTCATGTTGGGTTCTACATGTCACAGTGGAATTGATCCAATGAAGAATAGGTACTGTAATTTGTTTTTTATCATATTACTACACAGGAATGATATTCAAGACTAATATAAATACCAACTCACCTAAG